CGAACAGGTGAGGGTATACTGTATATATATATACATATATTATTACTGTTTATAAATTCTTAAATTTCAGTTAAGTTTCTTAAAACATAGAACAGTAAATAAACAATGTATAGAAAACAATGACCTCTACAACTAACGATGTTACAAAGTTTCTTTGTACTCGCATGTCATACTTGCTAAGCCTCTTCGAATTTTGCACGTGAAGGATGTAAAAAAATTTTTTGTAGGTTTTATATATGTGGATTTTGAGGAAATAAAATTATACATTATTATACTGATATCACAAAATTCCACTGTAATTTATCAGGCTTCTTAACTAAGCTGTATTTGGGTCTAACAAATCTCATTTCTAAATCACTGTATCACCTTGACACCACTCTTCAAACTTGCAACAGAAAAGACAACTTTAACTGCATAAAGACTGGCAGAATTATGTAGTTCAAAATGAGTGCTTTAGATTGGTTATAAACATGTAATTGAGAGATGTGGGCATAAGTAAACAAGTATTTCCAAAAGATTAAGAGGTGGGTGGAGCCACTGTGGTGGATTGGCTAAATATAATATCTCACCAAATAGAAAAGAAAGAAGGTTCTTTTCTTTATATATTCTAGTTTGTCAATATCAGTAATTTGAGATTCTAATTCATAAGATTCATGAGATTCTAATTCTAATTCAATTTGTTGTATTGTGGGCACCATAGAATGCAATTTGAATGAGACAATGATGTACCAAATGACACATAAAAATCAATATCTAACAATTTGTTTTAATAATTACTTTTAAATTAAGAAATTAAATAATGTATAATACTAAAACTTGAATTATAAACTACAATTTGATACCAAACTTATTGACATGCATTCATAAAAAAAGTAGCTTAATAAAATTTTGAATGCAGGTCTACAAACACGACGAAATACTTTCTGACCCCTACCCACAGTGAAAAGGTTAAAGTGACTAGATGGAGAATATTTTCTGATGTTTTCTTCTTTTATGTGGTTATAAAATATTTCCATTTTAAGTTTTGTAACACAGATATATAAATTTTCCTGACCAATAGTCCAATTCTCTTCATTGCCCTGATATTCTAGGTTTGGGGGAACCATGTATCTATCTCTGACCTAAATTCTTGAGTGAGAGTTGTTCTCCAAGATGTAAGAAGAAAAACTTAGATAAAAGATAATAAAGAATAAATTGATGATTCTAAATGAAAACTTTTCAAGTTTACTTGTGTGATGTTCTGAGCAGACACCCTCTGTCAGACAATAAAGACCATGAAAAGACACGACCTTTACTACCTGACGAACAGCGTCTGCTCAAACCATCACACAACTTAAACTACAAAAAGTATTTATTAATAGATGAAACAACTTATTATTTATTATCAATTAATTCTGACCTAGATGCACTGATGAATGCTAATACAAGTTACAATTATAGAACTTGGCCGATTATGATGTAAAATTCATTATCCAACCTGAGAGAACTTTTAATATTTCAGTGTATAAAACCACATGATAAAAAAAATCTGATTACTAAATTTAATTTTAAAGCTAGATAGTCTCATATGTGTTTTTGCTATGAGAGAGTTCAAACATGCACATCTACACCAAACTGTCTCCCACACTTAAAACACAAAGTTCATTTGGATATTACCACTGTTCTATTGGGTTATTCAGATGACTTACCATATAGGATTAATTATCTAATATAAGCAAAATATTTAGGATTGTTACTTTTCAGTATTAATCTTGTTAATAAACTTTAATTTTGAGCAAAACAACATTCTAAACTGTGCACATGTCAGATACAAACCTTAGTCTTTGGGTGGCAGAGGCATCACCAGCACCACTTCTTACACCTTCATCATCATCTGTTGTTGATGATTGCCTGTCAAAAGTTAGGTATTTCAATTTTAACACACTATTTCCTTTTGCATTTTAAAATGTTCAATTTATCTAAGAAAGCTTATAAAAATATTCGTGTCATAAACTTAGAAAACAGCTCCAGGGGTGGGTGGGGGTAGTATGCAATTTATGCTAATCCTATTACCCCTTCAAAGAGAATGTAACAACTCTTTGGAATATATTATAAGCTAGCTCTTTGCATGGAGTTATCAAGTGAATTCATATTAAACAATTATTACACAGAGAAAAAATAGTGTTTTAGTGCAACAAACACTGTAAGTTAGGAGAACTTTTAGTACTACTTTGAACTACTAAAAAATATTAATACAAAATTAACAAGTCAAATTACAGATAAAATTATATAACATGGGTCTATATACATATCATCAGATTACCTGAAGTACAAGAGCTGCAGGATTTTTAAGTATCAAGATATCCAAGTTAGAAGTTGCAAAATATGAGGAATTACTAAACCACAAATCCAAACTTATTTTGCAACAAACATCCTATAAAATTAGCACTGCACATCATAATCCTCTCTCACCCAACATTAGGTACTTTTTATTGGGAAAGCAAAAGTTTTTTTAATCACCTAACACTCAATATGCTTTTTTAATAGAAGGTGGCAAAGAAGTATGAACTGTGATGAAATAAAAAATAGACACCCGTCAAAGAAATATAAATTAGTTCTTTCTCTGTTACAAACACAATAGATAATTTCCTTTATCACTGCAAACTTTACACAGATATATATATATATATATATATATATACACACTGAAATGTATATTATTACCACTATGCCATTCTGTACAGTTGTTACAGAAGTTTATTGTTGGATTTTGTATTTCTAACGAAAATGTTTTATACAAACAGCAGCGTAAAATATCAAACCTGTCAAACCAGTAAGTCGTTAGGTAATTCTTCTCTCAATTTATACATTACAGATTTCAAATTAGATTTGTAAAGGTAGTCTTTCAGATCATTTTCTTAAGAAACATGCTTTCATTTTATACAACTATGGTAATATTTAATTACCAAAATGCTATACAGGTATATATATAATTATTACCAGGAACTAACTGAATATATTTAAGTAAAACCACTTCCTTCTAAAAATTGGGCTACCAAAAAAACAAGTTCAGATAGCTTAGGAGATGTTTTAATGTTATATGTAAAAATCGTGGTTACATTCACAGGTTTATTCTCTGAATGAATCAAAATATGCACACAGCAGGAAATGACTAACCTAATAATCTGTGAAGACAAATTAGAAATTACTTTAATATAAAGTACACACATACAACACATGAATTTTGAAAAATTATTCATCTTTAGTTCTAGGCTTTTAAACAAATATCTATTGGAATTATATTTCAACTTGCATCATTTGACCTTATAGAGTCAGAAGTATCTAAGTGTTTGTTTACCATCAGACTTCGGCTTTGGACGTAAAACTGGAATGGCCCATATTCAGTGGGTTATATACAGTTAGGAAGTAGAAGTTAGATGAAAAATTTATGGATATTGTTACCAGATCTTATGTTTAAGTCTTTATGTCTTCTATCACCTCCAAAATCAATTTTGCATGAACAGGACTATGTGAAAATTAAGCTTTCTTTATATCATATAATTGTAACTGATATGCAGATGTGTCTCTGTTAAAAATAAGTAAAAAGTCTGATATGTTAAATTAAAACTTCCCAATAACAAATTCATAACTTAATCTTTAAATATTAATTCCCCAATAGAAACATTCTTACTCTAATTGACCAGCTTCATCGTCTTCGAGAGCTATTCGGTTGGCTAGTTCATTCTCTCTCAGTGATTTCACTCTGGCCTGGGCTTGCTTCCAGTGAGGTGGAGTTTCACTTCCTGATCTGCTTCTTGATCGTGAAGGTGTTCTATATCGCTGCACAAGATATGATTAGTATATTTAAAATAAGATCTTGAAATCCATAAATATAACATAACTAAGACTGAATAATTATCAACATTTTTAATAACTTTTGTTTGTAGTTATTTGGTACAAGATATCAAACCATCAGCTGAATTTTATCATTTATTTAATTTTATAGAAAAAAAAAGAATGAAATGAATACACGACTTTCGTAATTATTTGCTACAAGATTTCAAACCATTAGCTAAATTTTACCATTTCTAATCCAATTTTATGGAAAAGAATATACTTAAGTATGTTATGGAAAACTTGCAAAATTAAGATCATGCATTCCAAAACCAAAGTAGTTTCTTGAATTTTCATCAAAAATGTCAGTTTAGAACTTACCTTAACAATTGATTTCTGAGAACACAAAATTATATTTATATACTGAATTGCCTTGACTGAGAACTTAACTTAAAGACAGTTGTTTGTATTAAATCTTCTAACAACATTTTTTTCAACCTCCTGTTAGCCTACATCTCCTGTACTTGAAAGGAGTATTATGTTCACTGAACTTATTTAGGATATATGGATTTTAAAATGCTAAAACAGTAATTCAGAATTTATTGATTTAGAAACATTTACTATATTCAGTATGCCATTTTAACAAAACTTTAATTTAAACTGTACTATTATCTATACACCAATTTGAATATAACAAGATCTAAAATTAAACACAAGAATGACTTAGTGTAGTGGTTAGGATAATGTTGAGGTTAGAACCTCAGATTGATTCATAATTAGTTATCCATGCAATCGTGACACCCCTGGTTTGTAGATAAATATTCTTTTCATAAATTCATAATTTAAGTTTTGTTTGTTTTTTCATAACAAAGCTGTTAGCAGGTTTATAAGCTGAAGAAATGACTACTTGGTGTGTAAAGATTTAAAACATTGTTTCATAATGTATTTATATTTGTTTTGGACAATAACTTTCTTGAAATACATTAAGTGTTTAATGATAATGTTTCTGTTCATCCGCATCGAAAAATTGTATGTTTTTGTACTAGAAAGAGGTTTAAATATGATTTGTTCCCATGATTACAAAATTTCAGCACAGTATAGAAATTTAAGATTTACTCATTAAAAAGTTTTATTTTTGAAGCAAACTCAACTTGTAATAAGTATAAATTGGCAACCTGTGGGCTAAAGCTGTCCCATAGACTTTTTTGTGGGCCAAAAGTACAAAAGAGTACAACTTATAAAAATTTGCTGAACATTAAACAGTGAAAGTTTTCATGATGGGTGTTATAGCAAAAAACATAGTAAAATAATTTACCAGTATTTCTAAAAAATCTTGCTAGCATAGTTGACTTTTTTTTTGTTTTAATATTATTAATGGCTATAGTAATTTAGAAATTCAAGCCAAAGTTTCAATTTATTAAGCCTTAAAATACTTATATTTCAATTTCTGTTCAAAGAATTACTGATGGATATGTAAGAATTAAAACCAGACTTTTTATTTTTCTCACTTGGTGTGAACCTGTAGGCATTAAACTTTAACATCCACGTTTGACTTGGTATTATTTTTTCATATACTCTAATTATGTAATATATTGCCATTCATTCTTTAACATCAATACCTTAACATTAGTTTGTAGTAGGGGTGTCACAACTTAAAATTTTTCTAATTGGTTACTTTTCAAGCTTGAATCAATTAGTGGTTTGACTTGAAGTATATGAAGTGTAAGAACTGTTGATCTCATGTTGTGTAGGTGACAGAAATACTTCAGATGAGCTGACATATTAGGATTACCACCTCAGCTCATCTGTTCGTGTTTCCTTGTGTGCTGTAAAGCATCTGAACCCCTGAACTTTTCTGTTCACTATTTGCTGCATATGTTATGGCCAAGTGAGCAACTTTCTATATCAGTCATATTTCAATGCATGACGTATGTGGCCAATTTATAAGTATATTAATACTGTCATTATACATATTTGTACATGAATTATTCGGTTTGCTAAAGTTGATTCATCAAAACGTTTCCATAAAAGAGGTCACAGATGATGACTTTAGCAATAATAACACAATGTTTTTTTAAGTCATACATGAAGTTAACTATAAATGATTCTTCCACAGAAAATACAATTTTATTAATAAACACACACCATGAATCCCCTGCCTTTTATCTTCCTCCCAGACCTTGAAATTTTTGGTCTGCGCTGATAGCGCCGCATTTCACCTTGATATAAAAATCTAAAAAGAAAAGATTTATTTAACATATATTAGAGTCAACTTAAAATGTACAATTATACGAATTTCAAGAGTAATTTTTCAATGAATGTGTCAAGTTCGATGTTCAAGATTTCTAAAACTTTGTAACAACTATGCTAAGTATAACCCTAAAACAATTTTCAAAATGGGGGGAAAAATCTAATATTGTTAATAGGCTCTAATTCTTTAACTTGCAACTGAAATATGCAAAATTTAGGACCTACATCATAAAAAAAACTGAAGTTATTTCAATAGGTGTGCAAATGAGTCAAAGTCTGAGTTAAGAATAAAAGCCACTATCAAAGTTCATTTAAATGAACTTTTCTATGTAAATAGAATAAAATAAAACTGTTCTTAGTGAGTGAGCCAACTCTTTGCAACAGTATAAAAGGTAAACTGTCAGTTAATACTGTATAGTAATTTTGTACTTATGGTAGATAAATTCTATAGAACATACCAAAAAATTATTTAAATTAAGAAACCACAGCTCTATACCCACTGCACTGTAATTTGTTCTATTCTAAATTATTACCTACTTGTTTGTTTGTTATGGATTT